TTGTGTTTCACTACAGTATGTCCACATGTAAGATTTTTCAACAATACCTATGTAAAACTTCTGCAACCCCAAAGCCATTCAAATCTTCCCTCATTCTATTAACACACGAACTGATATGAGTATGTATATTACGAAGATACTTCAATTATCCAGTATTCATTGTATTTGAAGTTAACATAATAATTATCTTACTCTAAACACAAATGATAAGATCAAAAACTAAAAACTTAAACAAATGCAGCATAGTTACAAGTTCATAACAAAATTGAAAATGGAACAAATTACTAAAAATAAAAAAGAGTTTGGAAAGTTTTATTGCATGGGATACTACAAGTTTGGTAAAGTTCATCAAAGGTATTTACATTATCCACTGGCTTATCGACTCTAAGTATTAGTAAAACTTGGGATGGAAGAAAGCTGTTTTGTAGGTACTTAACAAACATACATATACTTCATACTTCTATAAAGCTATTTACAACATTGCTGACTGCAAAACACTTAATAAGCATTGTGCACTTAGCAACATACTTGTATGGGTACATATTTGTACACATTGCTCACATATTGTAGAAATGAAGATTTCTATCCAAGATAATGCCCATACAAAATCAAAATGGCAGCACAAAACTATATAATGATATAAGGAAAAGGAAATACTGACCTTTCAAAATAATTGTAATGTAAAGGACTAGAAATAAAACACTGCTTCCATCATGGTTTTGATATGATTAAATATGTCATTCATCGTAAATGAATGTGTTTTATCAAAAATAAGTAATGCCATTTAACACTTTCCAATCATTTCAAGCATATAATGCCGGGAAGAAATCTTAATGTTTCTGCTTCATTATATTAAGAAAATAGTCAAACAACTCCTCCAATATCTAAGTATGCATATGCATGTTCTGGAGTCTACTTCCAATGCATAAGTACATCTATACTGGCTTTTTCAGGTAAAAACTTCTCTGCATCATAGTACTCCAACAAACCAATAGTCAGTTATTCGGACATAATGTTTTCTCCTAATAATATATATTCACTAAAGCAACAATTGAAAGACTGACGCATTTTACACAAAAATGTTTTTTACAAAGTTGCCATTTTACTTACATCAGGGTCCAACTTTGGACACAAAAGACAAAATCTTGTTTCTTGTTGCTAGGTGATTTTGACCCTGCTGTTTGCCATCATTCTTCCTGTTACACAGCAAGGACACACTTCAGTGGTAGTATGACATGCAATTTTATGTCAAATTCTATTTTGCATTTGTATATCATTTTCCGAAGAAAGAATAATTGAATGCTTTCTTTATTTGATTCATGTTTCATTGCCTTCATAACATGTCTCTTTACCTTGGTAAAAAAACTAAATTATATTGTGAACTTTATCAAAAGATATCTTTGTCCTGGCTGTGCAATATTACTAAATGTATGAAATGATTCTTGTACCTTACTACACAATCTTTAATTCACATGATTTCAGGATTCCAGGAAACACCAACTGAAATGATGACTTACTATTTGGAAGTTATTGGCCTAGAATGGTTTTCATATCTCAGTTATCAACAAAACATTGAGTAGCATAAAAAGCACACATGGCCCTGTATTTGTAAAAGATACACACGCATAATGTGTATTTCATTGTGACCACAACCAAGGATCCTTACACAGTGAGACAAAAACACCACTGTGACCACTTTGCGGCAATCAAAGGGAACACTTGCACAGAGATTAAGTTCCGTAAGGTATCTACAGAACAAGTCAAAGAAAATGCCCAATAATTTCAGCCATGATGCTTGTTCAGAAAAAAATGTGAACTAATTTGACAAAGGCATCAACATGTTATCATCCACTATATATTGAAAGGATTGTTTGAGTCAATCACATATAAGTTTAAATTCATGACCAATGATATAGAAAAATAACAGTAGGGCCATAACACTGTGATATGAAAGTAATAGTGACTTACATCATATCACATAACAAAAAGTTCACAATTGTCTCATTACTGATTACTGATTACTTCTTAATATTGTGGCCATGACTTGTATTGGATCAGAATTTTGTGTGATTTCAAAGATGACACCATTGTCCATGAAGTTGAAACTTAACAACACTGACAATCTGTAGAAAGAGTTTGACATGTGTTTAGCACACACCACATACTGCTTATAAATGTATGCACATTGATATCATGCATACATGGCATATTATTGTACCAAAGTGACATTTGCAAAGTGGTTGTTGATCTGATTTGGCTGAGAAATGATGGAAATGACAAAACTGCCATTTATGCAAGTCCAGTGTTTTACCAATGCTCCTTTGGATTCATCATGAAGAAGTGGCTTACAATTCAGAATTAGTGGTGGAGAATTCATTTGCATGAATGATACTTAGCTCCTCCTACACAATGACCTCATAAATGCCATAAACATGCTTTCCAGGTCATTTCAGAAATAGGTTGCAGAAAAGATGTCAAACAAGACAACGTGCCATGATGAATAATTACCCACACCTCTGTGCCAGGGAGCCTGTACAACAGGTATACAAACTAAGGTGCTGAAAATGTACAACATGTACAACAAACCAAAGTGCATGTCAGAAACAATCACTGTACACACATGACTGATAGTACATCAAGTTGATATGAATGGTATCTGAACGGTTAGGGAACAGCCATGGCCCCATGGCAACGAGTGGGGAGATTCCCACCAGGGTCTATCTCAAACAATAGAGCCATGAGGCTCTGTAGCTCACCTACAATGCATAAGACTTCATTAAACAATGACCAACACGTTAGCCCCGAAATTAATATCAGATCTTATCTGTGGAGTGCCATTGTTAAGCCATGTTTGAAAGAGCAGAATTATTTGAGTACTACTGATCTGATAACTAATGTTGTTTACAATTTCAAGGACCATGAAACAAGTTCTGGGTTGAAAAACAAATGCTAAGGTAATATAACTATCAAAATACATAGTGCAACTTTTCTGCACACACCAAATGCTCACTGCACATAATATAATAAACTGATGCAGTGTTTGGCTGCCACTGTTAAATTTATAGTAAACACTACTACTTAATCCAGGAACATTTTCACTCAAACGGAGAAAATGACAAATTTGAAAGTTTACAGTGGATAATGGACAACATGCAAAATTCAAAAGCATAAATCACATGTAACTGTTGGTTCTGGTAAGCTAAACTTGTGACCCTGATTAGATTTACCTGACATGATCAGAGCAGGTGTCACTGTGTGTCGTATTTAATACACTGTTTCCTATTCAATTTTTACATACTGCCAACATTTTGGAGAATATTCAATCTCAATGTCAACTCAAAGAAAAACATTTCTCCTGATCCTATGTAGAACAAAACTTTTCCAAACGGTGATTATGGCCTTTTGCATAATTCTAATCAATTACATATTGAAAACATTAAACCCATCCCAAATCACAATCATAAACAGGGTAGCCCTTGTCCTTAACGAATGGCGATAAAGATACTATGTATGATATCTGTCTCATGCTTCGCCTCTTATCTGTGTCAGACATAAAGGTACCAACTCAGCAATAGCATACCTTCATTAAACACAGCATGATGTTTTATCTGCAAAATAAACTCTATAGTGCTGCTGTATGTATTTTAGTCAAAGGTCAATGCTTGAAATCAAATAACAATCAATACAGTCAATGAGAACATCTTTCATCATTTACTTATTTGGTGAAAAGGTTTTGATCACATTGCATCCTTAACATAATTCCAAGAATTAGGAAATGTATATATGACAACCAAGCCTTTCAACAAAATGACTTATTGCAATAAATTTTATACTTTGGCATTAAGATTTGAAGATTCACTCAATGTTAAATCATGAAGAAAACTTTGTGACCAAAGATCCCCTGAAGTCTGCTAGGTTCTGTGAATTAGACAACTTGTGAGAATCTCTGGCAAAATGATTCCAATGAAGGTAAACACATACACACAATAATAACATGTTCCAAAACAAGACAGACAACAGCCAATATAGAAACTGTCTATGATAAGTAGTGATGACACATGATCACAACACATATAGCACTGTGAAGTGGAAGCTCTGTACAGGATATGTATACAAAAACATACATGGTTAAATAGATCTAAGTTGGTCTAAGTAATGGCATGGTATCAACAGATTATTTGAATGACTAATAATTCAACACAGGAAAACAAACTTGTGAATTTTCATAAGGACATGTATTTGTTGGGTCCACTTGCACAAAGCAACCTTAGCGCTACAACATCTCCCAGACTCCATTGACTTACGACAGTGGGCCCTGATCCTTAAGGTGACTTGTGTTCCATCCAATATGAATGGGGAAGGAGGGCTATTTGATCAAGTTGTTTGGTGTTCATGCACTTGTGTTCAATCCAGTCAGTTGATGGAATGTCCTCTCGTGGATGCTTGCAATGTAATGATTAAATGTATCACTACAGTACTGCAAGCCCTACCAACAAAGTGTTGTATGATCTCATTTTTTCAACAAAATATTTGGAACAAAACAAAATGTCATATGTCTAAAGTCAAACACATTCTGTTATATTGATTTATATCAAACACTTCACCTACTGACAATTTTGGGCTGATTCTTGCATTCATCAGGTCATAAGTACAGGTATTAATTTTCTTCTGGACATTGCTGACAAAGTCACTTATATGTGAGTGAGTGAGTGAGTATGGTTTTACGCCGCTTTTAGCAATATTCCAGCAATATCATGGCGGTGGACACCAGAAAAGGGCTTCACACATTGTACACATGTCGGGAATCGAACCCTGGTCTTTGGCGTGAAGAGCGAATGCTTTAACCACTAGGCTACCTGACCGCCCCACACTTATATGTAGTTTCATCTTGATGCTAACATTACATGCAGAGTTACATAATCAGGTTTCATAATTCTTGCATGTACTTCATTATAGTTATGTTGATATCTGTCTTAGTTATCACACAGTTTGAGAATATATGTGTCATGATACCCATTGTCATGTTATTACAAAACACAGCAGTCCTTATTCTCCTTCAGACATTGTTCCTAAATGTGAGTGTGTTGTTAGTCAATACTTCAGTGTTTCCTAAATATGAAAGACAACGAAAGTATTTCCATCAGGTATTTCCAGTCGAATTACAATTCATTTTTAGCACATAGCACTATGTGTAGTATATGTCACAAGATAAAGACAAGAACACATGACATTTATAACTAGTCTTAAACAATGTACATGGATTTCATTTTAGTGAAAAAACAAACACAGCGACACAAAAGTTAAAAACAAATACTGCATACCTCTGCATATGGATCATTTTCAGTAATGCTAACTCAGCATATTAAAACATTTCATATATATTTAATCATGATCATCTTCATACAATCTTGAGTTCCAGGTCATCTTCAGTAATATTCCTCACAAACAAAATGGATTATCATGGAGAACATATTAAGCAAAAAACAAAATAAATTCTCAGACGGACTCTGACTAAATGGTGCAAGCAGGGATTTTTTCCTTTTTTGGGGTCGAAATGATTACATTAACTATTAGCTCACAAACATAGTTGTCTTATTTTGATGCAGGTGGTGCCTGAGAATCAAAGATTTGTTTTAGCCTGGATGCAAACATTGTCATGGAAGTAGCAATGGCCTAAAACAAATATAAATGGACACTAGTACAAAGTCAACTAAGAAAAAAACAAACACAACAGTTCCCTTATCAGGACTTCTTCTCACACTATCAATCCAACACTGTCATGGAACTCCTTTGTGATCAAACCCTTGCATAACCTTAGGTCATCATTCTGACTTGGCAGTGGAAACCCTTTTATCTGTAACTGTCACTAGAAGCCTTGTGATGAATGACTCCATCACCGATCATGTCACAAAACAACCCAGATTTTCATTTCAAGCTGAATTACTCAATCTCATTTCCAGCTTGCTCTAAGTCAACCTCTTATTTATTCCTTGAAGAAGTCAGTATTTCAAGAGAAATTACACAGAAAGCTCTTCCTTGTGGTTGTGGTTGTACTGTCTTCCTTCCCTCTGGTATGAATAACAGAGCTCCCAGGAAATCTTTTCCACATTCTCCAACTGTGTTCATCACCATGGATGGTCCATTTTGTCAGAGAGGTCATGTCACACAAAACGAAACAGCTGAAGTCAAAGAGCAGCTTCACTGCTTCTGGTGATTATTCTCAAAAAGTATTGGGGTGGGGGTACATTAAGAATTTGGTTACACATTAGCCATAAATGCCATTGTAAGCAGTGTTGCACCTTTACACTCGTTACCCTGAAGTCTCCAAAGAAATGATAGTACACTCTGCAAAATAAATAATGTGATAGCATTGTATGCAATGTCACAAAATGCTTTAGAATCCAGAATGAAAATGAATGTCTTGTTCTTGGTCACAAAAGAAGACATGAAACATCTCCAGTTATAGGTCACAACATTTACCACAGGGTTTCAAACAAGACTCACAGCGTCTCCTCTAATATCCTTACTGAAGCTCATGATAATGCTTCACATCCTTCGCCCAGCATTGTGTCTTCTGTGTAAGTTATCAAAATAGTTCTGACAAAATAAACATTAATCACTGTCCAACAGAGATTAAAGTTCTTAAAACAGAAATCTTGTATATATCCTTCAACTGAGCACAAGAAACGACAGTCTTTCATAAGAATACTGGTGATCCATTTTTCACATATCTGGAAGAAACTGACTCCTTTGCACAATATTCTTGGAGACCCATCCAAACAGACCTGTGTCAATACATAGATCAGTAGCAGTTCAAAATGTTTAAGTAAAACTCTTCTCTTCTTTAGTAGGCTCAGTCCAGAACAATGACTTCTTCTTTCCTGCCAGCCTCCCCATCAGCTGGAGGGGGAGGAAGAGCAACAGGCTTCTGATCTGCATCTGCAACATGAACATTGATGAGGAACCAAGTAATAATACACAAATAATTACTCTTGACGTGGTCAATATCCGAAAAACAAGCACCCGAGGACCCGACCCCTGAGGTCGTCTAACCGGACCAAGGCTTGCAAGATTTAGATTGTGACTTGTGCTACAATATAATGCAATCCTAACTACTAAGTAGCTACTTGTAATTTCAAGAGTGTTTCACAGAATATCTATGAAACATGTTTTTCCATTGTTTTTCTCTTAAATCTTAAAGAACAAGTCAGCAACATATAGTTGATTAATGGAACCACCTTCTTAGCAAATTAGACAGAATCCCACTGCTACGTGTAAGTGATCACACAAGTACTATCCCTCTCTACCCCTACTAACACAATAATTACATATCTTCGTTTCTTTCTTTTTGTTGTTGTTGTTGTTTAACGCCGCACTCAGCAATATTCCAGCTATATGACGGCGGTCTGTAAATAATCTAGTCTGGACCAGATAAACCAGTGATTGATGAGCATCGATCCACACAATTGGGATAGGAAGACATGCGTCAACCAAGTCAGTGAGTCTGACCACCCGATCCCATTAGATGCCTTTTACGACAAGCATAGTCGCCTTTACGGCATGCATGGGTTGCTGAAGACCTATTCTACCCCAGATCTTCACAGGTCTTACTTCACCTTAGTATAAGAAGCATACACCTTCACACAGACTTATTGTTATGCTGTGTATCATATCTATGTCGCAAATATTTCTTTTTAGTTCATGCTTGTGTTTCTATGCTATGTAACATTGTAATGAGAAAGATGGAAGAACTTGAGGTAGGGTCCCCTGCATTACCAGGTAATCAGAGTTAACAGTATTATGTAGAAAAAAATATGCATGAATTGCAAGATTGATGAGTTGGGTCCCCTACTGACTAACTAAAGTAAGATAAATGTCCAGCAGGAATGACTGTAACTTACCTTGTTGTTCCTCTGCGGGCTTATCACATCCATCAGTTGTATTCTGAGATTGCTTGAGTCTTTGGACCATTTCCTCTAGCCTTCGACAGGGCTGTTTCGGTGGTGGGGCAGATGGAAGGGTGGTAAGACTGGGCCGTTTACGGCTTGCTGAACTTTGGCTGTTGTCTGTTTGATTTTCTGCTGATGGGGCAGACAATGTGGTATCTGAAACCAGTGCAGGAGAATCAGTGGTAGGCTTATCTCCTGCAGTGCCATTCTGGTCCTCAGAACCCTCTGTGGGTGTATCACATTGACTGAACATGTAGGACATCTGTGGGAAGTACTTCTCAAGGTCTGTCAGACTGATCATCTTGTTACATTTGAGAACACTCACTGGCAGGTTGTAATACTGAATGAATGCCTTTTCTTCATCCTCATTACATGAGTGTAAAGGAATCTTCAACACATTCTGTAGGGCATAGAGAAATTCATTCATACTACTTTGTGAAAAATATAATTTACACACAGCTTCCACTAAGCAGAATTTACCCGGTTTCTCTGCATGATCCAAATGCATGCATGATATGCTCTTTCCGTTCAGCACTACTCCACTTATCTTGTCTACTAATGAGGACCGAGAACTAGACCTGCTTTGACCAGAGCTCTGATTGGAGGCTGGACGTTGAGGAGCATCACCATTCATTGTAGGGATACTGGCAGTTGCAGGTGCAGAATTTGGAACAGTCTTAGGGCTACTGGATACAGAGGAAGCAGCTGGAGATGTTGCTGCAAATGTAGAATTAGGAGTGCTTGCCAGCTTTCCATTTTGATTATTCATCTGCTGACCTGGGACCATGCTATGAGGATTGGGGAAACGAGAAATAGCACTTTGAGAAGGTGAGAGCTGTGGCATCTGAGCAGTGTGCAGCATTGGGCCTCTTGGCATCATCTCTGTGGGGGCAGTCATAGGCATTCTCATGCCTTGACCCAGGCCCAGTGGAGAGAGGCCTGGACCTTGACTGTTGGGTACAGTTTGACCAGGGCGAATCATGGGATTCATGGGTCCTATGCCTCCTGGATGTATCTGCCCTGGGAATACCCCCTGCATTGGATGCATCTGTCCATTTTGAGCCATGTGAGACATCATGCTCAGAGGACTGCTCTGGGGATGACTTGGTGATGGCCGGCCAGAAGGTTGGTACTGACCATGCTGTGAGGGCATCTGACCAGGACTTGGAAGGCTTTGTCTGGGTGGAGAGCCCATGTTAGTCCTAGGGCTGGGCATGTTTTGTGGAGGCATGAAGGGAAATCGTTGTCCTTGAGGTGGCAAGGGATACTGGCCCATAGGTTGTTGGGGATACCTCTGCGGCATCATTGGCATCATGTTGAAGAAAGGATTGGGTGGAGCACTAGGGTATCCAGCAAATGGATTGACATTCGGGGACTGCACACTGCCTGGAGGTCTCTGTCCTATTGGCACTTGGTTTGGTGCTGGTTGTTGGATCTTTGTTGGAGAAGGAAGGTCTATGTACTGAGCATGTTTCAGTGGATCATCAAATGGAAGCTCAAGAATGCTAACTTGACATCGTTGTGTTACTTCTGATAAGTGGATAACTTTTGTGTTCTGGCCAAATGTGAAATCAAATCCAGCAGCTTTACAAGTTTCATTGAGCAGATTGCACTCAGCTAAGGTAGGCAGTGTTCCTTCAATCTGCAACTCAGTCAATAAACCAGCAGCATATTTAATCACTGATAGGGGCACAAACTTTCCCGAGTAGCGTCTGATATAAGGGGACACTGTATTGTTGATTTGGACCCAACCACACACCTTAGCCAATTCAGATTTGACATGTTCAACAGGCTTTCCTTCATTCTGAACCGACTGTTGAACTTGCTGTTGTGGAATCTCTCCTCTTAGTTTTGCTAAATAGTCATCAGGGAAAGTCTTTTTGACAAGGTTATAGAAGTCCTCAAACTCAGCCATATCAACTATAAGGTCCTTGCATGTAAAAGCCTGTTGTCCATACTCACAGCTACAATGGACCTGGTTAATTTCATCAAGTAGTTTGGCTTCATTCTCAGTCACAAAATAACTAACCAGAGGTTCCTTCTTTCCCAGTTCATCAGGAAAAGAATTTGGGTACCTACTCAAAAGTTTCTTCTCTACAATCCGAACAGCCACATACTTCTTATGTTTCCTCACAATATATGGAACATTGACAGTGTCTATAGTTGCCCACCCAAATATTCCTTTGATACTATCAACATCAATTCTATCCTCAATGTTTTCATCTTCGCTTTTGTCAGAAGGTTCCAGTGATGGTTGTGGTTGTGACTGGTCCTTCTCTAATGTTGAAGGTTCTGAGGATTGTGGAGGCATTTGTGGAGGTTGGGGTTGTGGAGGTGGCTCTGGATTGTAGTTGAGAACTTGGACATTATGTGGAACATACAATGGGCCAGGTCCTGGTGGACGCAGCATTGGAGGACTAGTAAGAACATGTTCCAGCTGCTGAACATAGGGCATCTGCGGCGGGTTGTGATCCACTGGTTCCGGCTTCATTCTTACTGGCATGTTGAGAAATGGAACCTACAAGAAAGTAATATCATCAAAAAGGGTTCACATTCACCCTATCCTACAAACTAATGCTGCAACTTCATATACTCATGTCATTTGCGATCTGTTAAAAGGCTAAAGAAGACCAACAAACATAATACACAAAACTTATTGCAGTACAACCAGTTCAAACTGTCCAGGTTCAAGCTTAACAGTCTCATGACACATTATCAGTGTTTGAAATATAGCCTGCCAGCCCATATATGTTTTCAGCAGGACTAGAAACTAAATACTAAATATTTACCCTTTTCCTTACAAATTCGAAATAGTTCATCACTGTGCTGCTTGCAATTTCTAACAAGTTTTGAACACACATATAACACTTTAAGATATATCCTACTATAAAATGAAAATAATGTGTGAATTCACTCTTCAACACTTTTGACAATTCACAGTTGTCGGGCAAAGGTTCCCCTAAGTACCTTTGCTGATAAGGCTGTTGACTATTTTAAGATCATAAACCCTCAATCAATACTACCATGGCTACAACAGGTCTCTTTCGGAAACATGCATGAACACATCTAAACTCTTTCAAACTGAAAATATAAAATATTAAATAAACCTGCAGGTTACTAGATCATATTTATAGCCTGAAAGAATAATTAATTTCTTTTTCATTTGTCTAAAGATGATAAAAATAAGGTTTTTTGGTTTAATCACATAAATCATAACATGGTAAAGCCAGGCATATATTTTTTACAAACATGTAATTAACCTGAAGAGTCATCAGTCAGGTTTAAAAAAAAGTTAAATATAAATATTTGTGTTATCAGAACATCTATTTCTGAATTAACATTATCATTCTTGATCAGAATAACAAATAAATATTTCATTCTTGTGTTACATCTGAAGCAAATAATATTAACAAATGGATAATTGAGGTAAGCTGTTCATTATTACTGCATGAACTTCAGGCCTACAACACTTGAGCGAGTTACTACCTATCAATCATAAAACACTATCAATTCACAAGTGATTTGTTTTGACTATGTGAGTGCAAAGCAACTCATTTCAAAATAACAATGACTGATATCTAGATTGAAGAAGGCAAAACTATTGGTTGTATAACATAGTGACTTAAGTAGAAGTTTAAGTCCTCAAGACTTGTTGTGACATGTGCAGGTCAACAAAGAGCACATTCACATGTTTGTGCCTGTGGGTAAAGAAATGTAAAACATCAATGCCAGAGTATAACCAGTCTTGATTATCCGATGAAAGCGATTCCAATGCGAGTAAGGGACTGACCATTTGATATTCAGAAGGGGGTAGGGGTGCTGGTGGCGCTTCTGGTATTTTGTATTGAGATTAGATATTTTTTCTGTTTTAGTTACAAAACCAGGCATTTTTTAAATATCTTGCAACAACGTAATTTTGGTGGCAGATCATCTTAGCGCTAAGATTATTTTGTGCAAGTGGGCCCAGGTGTTCGCGAAAAAGGCTAATCATGTCCTGCCCTACCGGCTGAACCCGCCACTCACATAATTTACATGAAAATGTACGCATGCTGTCTGACAAGTAACATTAACTGCACTAAAAAAAAAACTGGCGCAATCAAATCTGATTGGAGCCCTCTGGTCACTATGGATTGCATTTTTTAGCTTATCAAGTAGACTAAGGAAAGGGTGGTGTGATCCAAGGACACAGGCTTCACAATAAAGTCATGAAGACCTGTTAAAGTTTTCCACACACTGTAAAAATCATCCACAGTCATAACATCAAGAGAATCAATTTTAAACACGTATTCATGCCTAAGAACTTATACCGTCAATATTAGCACAGGAAATTTTATGATATCTGAGACGATAAAAACAGAACATGTGAACTTCACTTCACCAATGTTTATTGTTTATTGAAGATATTTTAGTGAATATTGAGTTTGTCAGCCTTGATGCAGTATCATCTGTTTACAAGAAATAATCAAATTAAATCTTTGCCTTTGCTCAAAGCAACAAAGCTTCAAGTTCACTTTAAGAGTAGAGGTTTTTTTAAGTTGACCATAAAATATGTTCTTTTCCTCTAGCATGATTTTAACATGCCTTCTTGTACTTAAGTGCTTGACAGATATTCAACAGCATAGAGGAGAATGAAAAAGAATTTAGTCTAAAGAGGAAATATCAACGTAACTTCTGTATTCTGGGAGTAGAAATACAAATACAACATTTTAACTCTGTGTACCTGCATATTCTAGATACGGTAAACAACATGTTCAAAGGTAAGGTGAAATGGGATTTAACATCGCATTCAAGATTATTGCACTAACATAGCAACGTCCATACACATGTGTGTGGGGCTGCTTGTACTAGTCCGGACTAATGCCATATATCATCAGGATAAAAAAACTAGTGTCAAAGGTTTAAAGTAGTTCTTAAATCACACAATGTAGATACCTTTGAAGGCAATTTTCATGAAAAAGAGGGTAAATGCAATTTTGATTTGAAATGAACTTTGAAGAACATGTACATTGAAATATTTAGAAAGTAAATTATTTTGGTTAAAGGAATATTAATTTAATTCTATGTGCATATTTATAATGCACCAAATCCATGCCCAAAGCATGCTCAAATGCTGGTAAATGGATCAGTGACCACTTTCATTCTTATCTCCCTGGGGAGTATACAACCCAAGCTGCCTGTGAGGTACTAGATTAATACCATCTCATCCTACTGGATACCAATTCACTGCCGGGTGAACCGAGTCCTAATTTGGACAAAGTATCTTGCCTAAGGCAACACCACATGTGTCTACATGTGCTTCAGTGTGGGGCAGGACTGAAACCCTCTGGTGTCAGCTTGCCAAACACAGTCACCCATCCACCTACTCTCCACAAACAACAAACACAGTCACCCATCCACCTACTCTCTGCAAACAACAAACACAGTCACCCATCCACCTACTCTCTGCAAACAACAAACACAGTCACCCATCCACCTACTCACCGCAAACAACAAACACAGTCACCCATCCACCTACTCTCCGCAAACAACATTGTTTAACTTTACCTGATTTGTGGTATATTTGCCAGAAATAAACTAATGTTCAAGTCAAACCTGTACACAATTTCAAAGATATTGAACGCAAATTGTCATACTTGAAATGAGCAACTTTACCTTGAAAACTCTTCACAAAGAACAGATCAACTTCTCATGTTACATAAAGTATCCCCACAAACACCCCTTGCATTAGATTCAAGTGACATTACCCCTTGTTATAGGATACACATCTATCCACTTGCAATGAATGTCTATTCATGCCAGTGTAAAATCAGTAGAGGCTTGCTACACATAAAACCTTACAAGCCTAGAAGTCTTGTATCCATGGAACAATACTGCAATGCTGCCTGCATGGTTTTGTCGAGGTAAAGATTGAAGCAGGTATTTATTCCTAAGCCTCTGTGAAGCCACAATACTGGCACTTGTAATACTATAGACAAGCACATACATGTCATACTTTTACACAATAGGCAACAGGCTACAAGGAATTACAGATTATTTCCTGTGTATTGGCAGACAGAGAAAAATAATTCTAATTTCTAAGACGATTACAGATTGCCTTCATATTGCATAAAATGAAACTTGAGAGCATTGTTACTAAATTCAAAACATCAATGCCAGATTAAAATCAGTCTCGATTATCGGCCAAAACAGTTTCCATTGTGCGCAAATGGCCAAATAGTGATCGCAAAAACCCATTACTTCATTAACCGTTACTGTTATAATGTAACAGCTTCAGCTTCAGATGAAGTTATTTGAAAACTGTTAGAATAGGTCTTCAGCAACCGATGCTTGTCGTAAGAGGCGACTAACGGGATCGGGTGGTCAGGCTTGCTGACTTGGTTGATGCATGCCATCGTATCCCAATTGTGTAGATTGATGCTCATGACGTCAATTACTGGATTGTCTGGCCCAGACTTGATTATTTACAGACAGCAAATAGCTGGAATATTGCAGCATTAAACAACAAACAAAAGACAAAATTTGAACTGACTGAAAATTATGCAACATTGTCAACCAAAGAGGAACCAAGATATGTCCATATGAGATATATTTGTTTCAAAACATCTAAAACTTACAAATGACGGGTGACCATGATTTACAGCATCCCAGTATCACTGTGATACACGGCCAACTACCAAATCTAATTCATTCATACATACAAATAGTCCTCCAAATCTCACATTATATACACAGTTGCACCTTCCTAACTATTAACCAGGGAAAAAAACATACCAAATCAACACGACATCAAAGTAATCGGGCACATGTTAAAGCCATCACAGCCTGTCGAGCTACTTTCAACTTCGTTTTACAGATCAACCTTACACGTGAGTTTCCTTGAAGAATTATGTTCTTAAGGCTGTCACAAATGTTAACTTATAAAAGATTCTTAACAGTGAAGCAGTCATGCTCATCTTGTGTGATCCAGTGCTTTAATGCTCAACCATGGGTAATAGGTTAAACATTGTACCAATTTACACTACAACTTCAATTCAATTCTGAAATGAATAGAATTTAAAAATTCATTTTCTGCCTTCGTCTATATACATGCCCAACAAAGATGATTCAAGGTGTGGCAGGCTTGTATTGTAATTCAAATTAGAAAGTGCTTTTCAACTGCACACCAAATAACGCCTGCTTTTCGGCCGCTACAATTCACAACACAGGAAACTATCCCTACTACCAGCTAGGCCATCATTAAAACCGGGAACCCAGTCATAGCAGCATGTCATGCGTGACCAGGAGACTCTTTGTCACCTCTCTGTTTGTTGGAGACTCACCTGTCGAGGGCAATCAACCGAGACATCTATTTTACACCTGGAATTTTGTTTAGTTCCCTATACTTGCTGAATCATGGTAGCACAATAGCTGTGGGAAATCCAAACATTGCAATTAGTAGTAACATAATAATCTGTTCGCAATCTCCTTGATGTTTCCTTTTTAGTGGCATTACTATTGTTCTAATTTGATACTGGCATT